TTTTTCCTACTCAAACCATTTATCTATCATTGTAATTATACTTGTTTACTTTGTAATTCATAATTTTCTCAGAAACTTTTAATCAGCGGAAAAATATATTCAACCTTGAAAATATAATGCAAATTTACAAGAACAAAGTAACTTTAATGAGGAATTTAATGTGTTTAGTTTTTGCTTGGTTTTTTKATCTGATTTTGTTTGTTTGTTTTTGCTTTTAAATCTTTTTTGTTTATTTCTTATAATTTTTTTTACTATGGAAGTAAAATTAGTTGTTTTGTTCTATATATTTTCTTGGCCAATTCTTCTAAGCCTCCAAATTGTCTTAGATTGAAGTCAATAACAACGCCATATATACACAACAATCTAAAAGAATTAATGACATATTGAGCGTTATACCTTGAGTCACTTCAATTCTCGCTACTACTGCAGCTTGGCCCGCGTAAAGTTTCTTTAAATAGGAAAAAAACCAAAACAAATGGTAAGTAGATGTTAAATGAACCAGAAGACAATCCCCTACTCTTATAGTCACGCATCATTGAATATGTTTATTTTGGTTTGGAGGAGGGACAGGTTCTAAGTCCTTATCGGAGAAAAGTAGGATTCCTCTGATACGAGTGAGTTAAATTCGTAATTTGATGTACTTACTCCTTCGTGTTCAGTAATCGCTCTCTCTGCAATAGTATATGTTTTTCCTTTGTCTAGTGGTACATTTTTATATTGTCCATATATTTTATTGTCACCAACAGGAAAAGAAGACTTGATCTCGTTTGGTTTCAGTTCTGCTGTGACGTAAAGCTCCTGTGCATCTTTGTAGCCACTGATATTTGTTGGTAAGTCACTGACATCTTTGTTCCCTTTGATTACGATAACTTGATATGAACTGATACATGTAATTAAGAGTGAAGTCAATAATGGATACAGGGGTATACACTTATTTAACTGTTACAACGAATCACGGAGCACCCAATGTTATTTATCCGGAATAACTACCTGATTGGTCCATTGACTGGATCAACTGACCATAATGGAACGTCAAATTTGTCCTTTAGAGCTACATAATTCCCTGTAGGCTTGACAGGATCTAGAGTATGAAGTATAAATGATGCTTTAGGCAGCGAGACAGCAAGCAAAACCGGCATAATTTATGGTACTTACTGTCAATGTCTGTGTCTTTTTTGCTTGATACACTCTTCTCACTCTTACCACATACTGCTGATGCCGTTACCCAGAATTCATAGCTTGTACCAGGCACAAGACTGTCGATTACCATGTTAGTTCGTGCACCATTCTGCGTGTAAGTCTCTGAAAATGAGTACTTTGGCCAGTATGATTTAGAACCTTTTACTTCAATCTAAATCGAATGATGGAAAATATTTTAAAAACACAAATATGAAATGAAAAATAAGTATGTTGAAATAGCGATTCATGAATTAAGATTATTATTGTATAATCATAATCAGCCACATTTTTAAACTTGTAAAACTAACACTACTATCATTGGAAAAAAATGAGAATCCTTTACATAGACTTACCATATATTCATCAACAACTAGTGATATTGGCAATGGTTTTTTCCATCTTAGTTCAATAGAAGTCTTCGTTTGAGTCTCAGCTTGTACATCAGTAGGCTTGTTAGGTTCTGCACCCAAAAAATCAGTTTTAGTAGATTTAGGGACCGGTCATTAAAAAGGTAAAGATCTGTGACTAGTGGTATTAGATAAATGGGCTCTCACCCCCATTACTTACCTTGAGTTACTGTTTCCCTCTCTCCCATCATTAAACCAACCCTTTCTCTCTCCCTCTATCATCACACCATCCTTCCCCCCCATCCAACATCACTCACAACCTTCTTCCTTCCGTCCATCATCACTTCCTCCCCTCCTCCATCCATCTTCACACTCTCCCTCCCATATTCCGTCATTCCCTTCCTCCATTCATCCATCATCACTACCTCCCCTTCTCAATTCATCATCACACTCTCCCTTCCCCCTTCCGTCCTTCCCTTCCTCCATCCATCCATCTTTCATCACACTCTCCCTCCCTTCATCTATCATCACACTCTCCCTCCCTCTCTCCCTCCCTCGCTCCCTCCCCCTTCCATTCATCAACACACCCTCTCTCCCTCCCCCAATCTCCACACCGTCCCTCCTCCATTCCTTTGATCA